GTCCGCATCACATCCTCGGCCTGGGTGTTGCAATGTGGCCGAGGACCCGGCTCAGGTGTATATGTGAAGGTCAGGCCGGTGGCATAAATAATGCCATCATTGCGCACCAGCGAAATGGGCACCTGTGTGGGTTGTCGCACCTGCAATGGATATAAAAATGAAATTTATAGTGGGTACTAAAAGGATTTTCAAGCAGTAACTTACCCAAAGCCATTCACCGCGGAACTGGGAAATCTCGGGCACCACGCAAAGCAGCGTCTCCGTGCAGCGGTACATGGTCTCCGCCTCCACATCGCCGAACCACACCTGCAGATGCGGCGTAAAGTTGTCGCCACTGAGCTCTAGCATGGCCACATCGCCGCCGCCATTGAGATTCAGTGAATTTACAATTGGCACTGGCGTAACTGGGGAACTAAAAGGAAAGGCGCCATGAAAACCAATAGATTGACAGGAAAATAAGCTCAACTTACGCCACAGGACCCATGCCCTCGTAGAACTGGTACTCTGCCTTGTCCGTGGATATGATGGTCCAGCAGGCACCGTCGTTGATCATCTCCTTGTTGGGCTCCTTGGGGCAGGGCGTGGCCTGGAACTGAATGATCTTCTCCTGCGAGAGGCAGAGATACATGCGGTCCGTGTCCTTCATGTAGAAGGCGCACTTGTGCAGCTGCGAAACAGGATCGTCGGCCTCCAACAAGGCCATCTGCTTGTCCACCTTCCGGATGATCAGACGCGGCAGCGCCATGCCCGTCACGGAGCACACCAGCTTGACCGTGGCCCCGTAATGGATGTAACCATCGCGCACCTGGAACTCCTCCGACTCGGACTCGTTGTCATCCAACAGGTGTATCGTGAAGGCACCCCATTGCGTCGACGAGGCATGGAAGTGTCCATTCTCCACGTGTAGATAGCGGGTGGAGACGGTCTGGGAACGCAGGCGATTGAAGAGGGCAACATTGGTGCCGCTGGCTATGCACAGGTCGGCATTCTTCAGCGACTGTTTCTTCTTGGACGGCTTCGATATCACCTTGATTCGCTTCGAGTTGAACACCCCAATGTCGTGGCCATTGCCGTAGAACATCTTCACCGACAGCATAAAGTGCTTTCGCTTGTCCGAGTCGGAGATGAAAAGCGTCTTGGCCGCACAGTACTGCTTGCCATTGAGATCCAACTGCTGCATGTCCTGGTCACTGCTCCCGATCCCGATGAAGGCGCACAGCTGCGCTCCCTGTTCGCCCTCGCCCTGCTGCAACATCTCCTCGTACCGCCGACGCCAGCCGCTCCCGAAGAGATAAATGCACGGCGGTGGGCAGAAGAAGCGCTTCTCATTGCCGTAGGACTTCTGGGCCACCTGGATAATACACAGATAACACACACAGTGGTGCAGGAAAATTCAATTAGCACAAATTGGTATCCAGATTATCGGCAAATCATATCAAAACCGCAAGCAATGCAGCTTTGTTAATTTTCTGTAATTAATTTCAATTATTTTCATCGCGGACTGGACCGGGCTCGCGTTGCTCAATTTGCGGGCAGTCGAGTGTGAAGGATTCGGATTTGGCGGCAGTCGCCGCTTGAAGATCGCCACCGCCAAAAGCAACCGCGACAATTTTATTCCATTTTTTCTGTCTGCCTTGGTCAGCAACCGCAAAAATGTAACACTTTAAAGTGGACAATAGAAACGACTAGTAAAAATGGGGGGTGTGGTTTTGTGGGGTCGGATTGACCGATTAGTAACTTTAATTTTGAAAAATAAAATGGGTCTTGAAGGATTATCGACATTTAACTTAAATTAAAGTTTTTAAAATTATGAGTTTTTGGTCCTTTTAAGATAGTTGCGGTTATGAGATTGCAGTAATCTAGGTTTTTATGTTCAATTCTGTAAATTTTCCTTGATTTATTAATTAACCAGTAACTATTAAGAAGAGCCTGGTGTAAACTATTGCTTGGAAAGTTCTATTAAAAGGTAAGTACGCCTAAACTCTCTGTTTCCCATTTTTCATGTTTTCCTAACTTAAATTTTTGTGATCTACAAGGACACAATTTCACGGAACCCTGCAATATTTAGCTATTTAAATCATTTTAAATTGTAAATCTCTATAATTTTTCTAATTGTTCTTTTAGTATTCTCATGACTCTTAGTTGAAAGTGTTTTTATCATAAATCATACTCAAGACAACAGATCTGTTTAGAAACCTTTATAAACTAATCATGTAAATTTTTGAAAAATTTTAAAAACCTTATTGGGGTTCTATAAATCTTTAAAATTCAAAATATTTTTGGGACAGTATACACCTGAAATAGCTAAGGCTTTCTACGTTTTGAAGATGTTTTTCCCTGAAGGAGGACCATTTTAATATAATAGATTAATTTGTTATTAAAACAAGAAACTATTTTATATGAAAATCTGTTAAGTGGTTTTCTAAGCTTTAAATGAGAGGCTTTAACCTATTTGCGCCTTAATCTTTGTGATAAAAATAGGTCCTAAACTATCCACCCCTGATTAACTCGAAGTTTACTTAGCCTTCAAATGTTCTATCCCAGTGGGTTACCCTTTCGCACCTTGGCATGCAGGATCACGATGACCATGTCGTTGCGCTCGCGCATGTACTTCTCCATGGCGTCGCGCGTGAGCTTCTTCTCCTCGATGTGCGGCCGGTAAGGACCCGGTAGCAAGGACATCTGCATTTGTTGCTGCTGCTGGTGTTGCTGCTGTTGTTGCTGCTGCTGCTGGTGATGCACTTGCAACTGCTGCTGCTGCGACGTCGGCGGCGGCGGCTGAGGACCCGGAAGTCCAAAGTGCGGCATGTCCTGGCGCTGCGGTTGTTGCTGCTGCTGCTGGTGCTGCTGTTGCTGGAGAGGATCGAGCGGCGAACCGTTGGGATTCACAACTGAACTATCGTAGGCAATGGCGGGCGGGGCGGCGGCGTTTAAATTAAATTGGCTGTAGCTCTTCATTTATGCACATGTCTCTTTGCATTCGGCTTATTTGTTTATAGGTTGCTTGTTTTCTGTTTTCTTTTTCTATTATTTGGCAAATTCGTTTGGCACTTTGGACACTGCTCGTTGTTGTTGCTGTATGTTTTGTATTTTGTTATCCTGCTGCAAACACCCACACACACGCAGAGCAGCTGTCGTTTCTCTCACGCACTCTCTTCCTCTTAATCGCGGATTGGCTTTGTTGTTGTTGCCGCTGCTGCTCCGGGCTCTGGATTTGGCTACTGCGGTCCCCACTAATCACACATATTTCCCCAATTTAGCTGATCTTGACTAGCGACTAGCGGTCTTAGCGGCTGGCTTCTGTTTAAGGCCGCAACTAGAGCTCGGGTTATATTTATAATATGCTACAACTAAAAAAAGCGACTGAGGATGTTGATGTTGTATCGATAGTCCGATAGGCGCTTATTTACGATAGTCGCTGGCTACCGGCGATACGACTGGCGTTGTGCAACACTGGCGGTGGGCTTGGCTGGCATTGGCCATCTGGCTATTTCGTAGCCAGTAACATATTTTGACTAAATAATGCAGTTTTTGGTATCAAGTTTTATATATTTCACGTAACTTACTAGGACTTTCACCTTTTTATCTTTTTCCAATAAGTGTAAACTCATGGCATTGATTTCTTTTTAGCACTGCAAGATATCGATTTTAAGCGCCCTCATATAAAATGCTGGTCTGAAGCTACTAACCTCCTTTCAACTGACCCATGCATTTTTAAAACGGGTCGTGGGAATACGCACTTGCCTGAATATTAAAGATATTGCAAACTTAAAGGTAAATGGTGGTAAACGTGGCTTAAAAGTTAAGTGGCACGTGCAAGCACTTATATAATACAACCCAAAGATGTTAATTATTTAGTACTTGCCACACATTGGAGAAACCGCCTTAAGCAATATTGATATTCAATTAGTAGCAGTTTAAACGAACTGTGGACAGATCACTGATCACTGAATATCACTTATTCGATTGACTGGGGCAATCGATATCGCCATCTTGCCATATCTAACTTGTGAAATCAAAAAATCGGTTCGGTGCGGTGCTTGAAATTCAAAGATATTCTAGAAACTCAGAGATAATGGAGCAATTCAAGGGCCTGCCAAAATCCCTGTATATATGGACGGATAGCGCTGACCTGGACAAGCGTGTGGAGGCGGTGAAAGCAGCCACCGGGGGCGAGGTGGCCCTGGAAAATGTGCACCGCCTGTCGTTTTGTAAGTTGTCTGTTTTTCTTTTTGTCTAGCCGGTGAGTCAGCAGATTTGGGTCAATTTAATGGTTTATTTGCATTTCCAGCCTCCTATGCCAACTCCAGTTTCGACCTGATTGTGATCGAGTGCGCCCAGCTGACCGACAATTACGTAAAGCTGCTGCACATGCTGAAACCCAGTGGCAAACTGCATTTGGTGTCTTTCATCGGGCCGGCGAGCAGTCTGCTGCAGGAGGTGAAGCTATCCGGATTCATCAACTGTCGCGAGGACTCTCAGGATGCCCTGACCGCCGAGAAGCCCGGCTACGAGACGGGATCCTCGGCCAGATTGTCCTTCGCCAAGAAGAACGCCAGTGCCGTGAATGTGTGGAAGATCAGCGGCGATGATGAGGAGCTGATCGACGAGGAGGAGCTGCTGGACGAGGAGGACAAACAGAAGCCGGATCCGGCTGGTCTGCGTGTCTGCAGCACCACTGGAAAGCGCAAGGCCTGCAAGAACTGCTCCTGTGGTTTGGCCGAGGAGTTGGAGACTGAAAAGCAGAGCCAGGCGGCCACCGAGAACGCCAAGTCGAGCTGCGGCAATGTAAGATTACATAACATGCCTGTCCCTTCCTTTTATATTGAACATCTTATTTCTTATTTAAACAGTGCTATCTGGGCGACGCCTTCCGCTGCTCCACTTGCCCTTACCTCGGCATGCCCGCCTTCAAGCCCGGCGAGAAGGTGCAACTGGGTGGAAACCTCCTGAAATCCGACATCTAGCTTAAGCCCACCATGATACACCCAATCAAGCAATCACATTTCAAATAGTTTATTAAGCCGACTTACAAACAAAAAATGTCATAATGTAAATACAAAAATGCACCGCTTCACGAAAACAGCATGTCGATTCAAATGTCCAACTGCTCACATTTCGCATGGTGTACCCTTGATGAGATCGCGGTTCTGGCCCGTCAAAATGCGATAATTGACGGCCGAGGGATCGAGTTCCTTGTACAAATACGTGGGCATCTTGTCGGACAGCACCCAAACGGTGCCCTCGTTGTCGATCTTCATGTCGTTCGGGAAGACGAGAGTGTGCGAGTCGGAATCGATCAGTCCCTGGGTGTCCGGTGTGTAGGGACGCTTGATGTTCCAGCAGGCGATGGCGTCTTTGTTCACCTGCGTGTAGAAGATGACGCCGGTCTCGGGGTCAAAGACCTCGGCGGTGGACTGACCATTCATGCCACGGTCACCGACATATTTAAAGTCATAGTACGAATCGCCGCCGGTCACATGCGATTCGTTCTGCAGCACTCGGTTGGAGACCTTGAACTCCTTGGTACTGGCCAGAGCATGGAAGTAGATGTCCTTGGAGTGATCCGGATTCATGGGACCCACCGCCATGCCAAAGACGCCGTCCGTCCACTGGAAGTTCACGCCGCCGACATTGAAGTCGCCCTGCAGGGGGTCGAAGTGGAAGAAATTGTGCTTGACGCGGTAGGATTTGTCGTTCCTCAAGGAGTACACAATCACACCATAGGCACCCAAGTCAGGGATATAGGCGAAGGCATCCTGACACTCCGAGCGGTCGGCATCCACAACCTAGGGATGAAATATGTCTATCAGTTTGGAATTCAAATCCGGTTATAATCCTGTTACTTACAATGTTAGCAAAGAACGAATCCTCCTTCTTCTGATCGTCGGGAATGGTGAAACGACGCACCAAGGTGTCCGTCTTCAGGTCAAAGACCAGGATCGAGTTCGGTGTAATCTGCTTGGGACTGCCCAGGATGTCAGCCAAACCAGTATCGAGAACCCACAGGCGATCGCATACGTCCACTTGGATTCGGAAGGTGGAAATGATGGTGGAGTTGTCCTTCAGCTGAATGCCGGCATCTTGAGCCTTCTCAGCATCCAAACGTCCGCCCGAAGGTGTCTTTTGATCCTGGGGCTTCACATCGATGGGCAGCTTGTTGGCCTCCCAACTGGGATACGGGCGCAGTTTTGGCGACTTCTCCGTCGAGTTGAGATCGATGTAGTTCAGGGTGGCAGCCACACCGGCCTTCCATCTAAAATGTATAAGGATAATTTAATTAGGAGGTGAAGTAACTATAGATTTTAAATAAAGAATTTAATTTAACAAGTTTGTTAAATTTTCATTACATATTTGGCCTTATCTTAGTTAAGTTCCAAGGGATTGGCTACTATTCCTAAATCAACTAGTTCTTATGCAACTTTTATACACTAGATTTTCTGTGCGTAATCGATATGATTTGTTTGTTATTTATATTATTTGATTACTCATATGTATCTCCCGAAATTGTAAATTTGGTTCGGGTCTTTTTCGTTATAAAGCGCATCGTAGGTAAATCCCCAAAAGGGATGACGTCACACGAAGATTTTGTTTACTAGTTTTTAAAATGTTCTGCTTTAATAAGATCGGTTATTTTCCATAGAATTTTCCGGTCATATGTTTTCTCCTATTAAATTATAATTAACTTAATGTTCGTATTTGCATTTAGAAACCACGATTTGAAATGCAAAATAGACTTACACAAAGGAAAAAAAATGATAAAGTTAACTAGCCAGCGAGGAAACCGGTTTCCCCTCTTGACGCTCGATGATTTTGCAAGTCTAGCTTGACATTTAATTACAATCGAAGCCAACAAAAAAGGTAAATATTAAATTAAAGAAAAGACAAGTTAACAAGAGGTAATCGTTTTTCGGCTATGAATACGGTAACTTACCTTGGCACAGTGACAAAGATTCTGTTTTGCCAGCGCTCCACGCCCAGTGGCAGGTTGTTCTCCTCGATGTAGTGGCCATTCGTCTTGGCCTCCGCCTCGGCCTCCGGAGTGGGCCAATCGAAGGCCAGCTGCTTCCACGAGAACTTCTCCTCCAGCTTGGCTTGGATCCCGGCCAGGCACAAGATCAGGCCCAGACTCACTATTCCCAGTGGGTTCATTGTGGAATTTCGGTTTGCAACAGCTTGGTTATATGGGATCTTAACTTTTGCTTTGGGACCTCCTTTCGATTTGAGTTGAGTGCGCTAACTGCAAGAGCTTGGATCGGAGTCTGGCTTAATATGTTGGCTTGGATCCAAAAGAGTAGAGCTTAAAGCTCAGCACTCAGAGATCGGAGATCCCATAGTGTTATAATCTTTTATACTGAATTCCCAGCTGTGGTGCTAATGGATACTGGGTTGGGGCTTAAAATTAGCAACATAAGCGGAAGGAAGAAGCTGTGGAATTTAATTGGTAATACTTTAAAAATACCCAGATCCCAGCTTATAAGGCTCAACGGGAATAAATTACCCGAGCAGTGAACTCGATATCTCATTAAACAACTAATGGGTCAATGAGTGCTTATAAGTAGGTATGAAAAGATGGAAATTATAACATAAATATAAAATAAAATATTTAATTTTTTTGTAATTATGCATCCTTATTTCTTATCTTCAAACTTTTAAAGAATTCCAAAAGTAATGCTTACTGAACTGCATAAACAATTCAAACGTTGATTTAATTAATAAAGGTTATTGATTCCCTCATTTAAAATGCAGCACGAGTGGGGTGCAAAATGTTTGCTTTTAAGAACGATTTGCATTTTCAGAAACAAAATTTGTGAAAGATGTCAAATTATTAAGACTGGATATTTAAAAGTAAATGAACTTGTAATATAAACATGTTACCTTTGGCTTCAGCTTAAAATAGAAATGTATTAAATGGGAGAAGGGATACTTAATTTCGGAAAAATGAATTATTTTGTAAGCATCCCAGATAAATTCTGCCCTTCAAATAAAACTGAGATATTTGTTCAATTCTGTTTTGTGTTTTTTATTCAGTAAAATTCTCATTTATTCCGTTTTATTAAACTTTAAATTAATTCGTTAATGTTACATTCATAAGAACATACCGAGTTTTTCATTACTTTGACCTTTTGTTTTTCCTGCATATTGCTACCATTTTGTGTGGTTCATATTTATTTTGTCACTAACAGTAGATGTTCACTTTTTGCGTGTTTCTTTGAAATAAATGTGGATTTATTTTACCTTTGCTTTTTCTATTTACTCGTATTTATACAACAATTAGCTTGGCTAAACTGTGTCTTACTTGACTAAAAGTTCATCTTTCGGCTGTGATTCGAGGACAAAAGCAAATAATTGATTCGGATTCGAAAATAAATGTCGATTAATTGTTGCACTTGTAGATTTGGTTGCTGTTGCGGCTGTAATTTTTCTGTAGTGTTTAGGAGGCGCAGCTAAATGCTCTATATACAATATACATGATCTCGAGTTACACGTCTACCCTAACAGCGTTCCCTATTCGTATATGAAATACAATCCGATTAAACTACAAATTCCAACGATCCTTAACAAATATCAATGTACTAGAGATGTTCTTTGCCATGTGTAAATTTCATATATATATTTCAATATTTATATATAATCATTGTTTATCGAGTGTATAGTATTCATTTCATTTGCTTGGTTTTCATTTTATTTAACGGCTTAGATTTTAAAGTCTTTCATTTCGTAGGAATTTGATGTTGTCTATGTATGTTTCTTATAGCACTTTTCGTGATGGATTTTTACCTATATTGTTTAATTGAATGTGAGAGTGATTGAATTTAAACGGTTCCATATCGTTGAAGGGTGAGTGAGTTGAGTGATACGTAGTATGTTATGCAAGTGAGTGAGTTAATCAATTTGTCAATAGGTTTCAGTTTAGTTTTAGTTTAAATAAAGTCAATTCCTATATAACGACGCCCTCAATTATGTTCGGTTTCTCTTCATTTCCTGTGTATAATATATATACTTTATAAATGCAATTTTAGAACTTACAGTAGGTTCAAAAATTTCTCATTACCATTTAATTTGTCTATGTATAACAGTACATAAAAATTAAAACGTTTCTTGAGCACTTAACCCACCCATAATATATAATATATTAACTTTTGATGCTACACTAGTCTAGGCTAAATGTATACATATCCTTTCATTATCTAATATTTGCTAGAATTTTCATTCGATTTGTGCTATTTACGATTTGCTGAAATGTAAACTATTAAAACTTTTATCGAGTGCACATTTACACGTCATACACACACACATGGGATCCTATACAAAGTGTCTAAAGCTAACTTAGCTAACGTATTGGGAATCAAACCGATTATCCTGTCGAAAGGGACAGAGTTCCGTAGTTTGATTCCCGGAGTCTAGGAGTTTGGTTTGTATTGCCGCGACCTGGTTCGGAAAATACACCTAAATCAAAAGTATGAATGAATGGAGAAGGCCGCCATTTAAGGGTTTTCATCTATGCAGATTTATTATAAAGAGCTCTAGGAGACAGGACTGAGCAACATAGGCTTAAACAGAAACTTCATTTAAACCAAGAACAGTATTTACTAACAAAACAACAATTTGTTTTCCCTTCTTGTGCTTAAAAATTACTAACTTTAACATGATCGTTTTAGGTATTTTCTTGACTTACTATATTTTTTTTGTTTTTCTGTTTCAACTTTAAAGCCTAACAATTCGCTTAGTTCAGATGCTAATGTCGATTTGGTTTTGTTTTGTTTGTTTTAAGTTAAAAGTATTTCGTTTTTAATATTAATTCTAAACACGTTTAAGGTACAATACATATTTCATTATTCTACAAAATTGCTGCTACCAATTCACTTATTTAGCTCAGCTTAAAGTTGATACAAAGTTTATTAAGTACGCGTTTTTATTAAATCCATCTTCCGTTAGCATCATTATTTGCATTTCATATTTTCTGTATAATTCACCTATCACGCAAAGGAAATTGACAAGTTTTTTCATGTACGATGCTCATGAGTATCTGGAAAATAAATGTATTTAGAATTAATAAATAATTTTTTATATTTAGGAGATTTAAGATTGATAGAAACGTGATAAGTTAAGAAAAGGTGCTATAAACAGAACTAGGAAAATTATCCAAGGTGTAGAGTTAAAGTATTGTGGTCAGTTCATTTTAAGATACATAATCGCATCCTAAATGCTGAAAGATTGCAATTGCTTTCAAGATAAGAAGTGTTGACAGTGCGTTCACATAGCATTTACAAAAACAAATAACCTTTGAACTCCATTTTTATTGTTGTTCCTAATCAATTGTGTCAATGCCCACGAAAAGAGCTAAAATTTCTAATTAAAATTGAGAACGATTACGATTATGAACGTCAAGCTAAACCAACGATGCTAATACCGAGTACATGCAATTGGCTAATGGGAATATTGGATGTACACATGCGATGGGGATTAACTCACCTTGTGTGATTGCGAGTGTGGCTGCAGGTGTGGCATGTGCGGATGAGTTGATGAGGGAAGCGGGCTGCGAAGTTGTCGCGACGGCGGCAGGGGCGGCACCTGTTGCACCATTCAGTTCTGTGCCCTTGGCGTCGCCCCGCTCCACCAGCCGTTGTCGCAGGACTCGTATCTTTTCCTCCTTCTGAAAAGGGGAAAAAATGAAAATTTAAGTCAAGAAATTGTATTCACCACACAGCAATAATTATACGGAATTTATTCAAGACAAATACAAATATTTTTTTTAATTTCTAAGATGAGACCTAATCTACTTGAAACCTTTATCAGCTAGGGTTCACATAGACCCTGAAAAATTTCGTTATCAAGTACAAGCATTTTAGTATAAACTCAAAGGCGACACAGAAATCAGGCCTCGGCGAGAATAAATTAAATTCAACCAATCGTAGATTAATTATACGTACGGTTTTGGGGATATGAAAGGAGAATTTTTCATCGGCCTACAAAAATTCATCTGATGATTAACGAACAACCACACGATCTTTTCATTAAACTAAAGCACGTTAATGGGGACACAGTTTACGCTCACTAATATGACCATAAAATAGGCTGTGAAAAATAATTCTATAAGTTGGAAAGGGTGGGACAACACTATGGAATTGCTGAAGACTCCCATAAGAATCACAAAGATAAAAAATTCCCAACTTTTTATCATGATAATGACGACTCAAGAAAGAATTGCGCAGCGGAGCATGGTGGTGGTTGGTGGTTTCACTCTTGTTTGTCGAGGTAAAGCACATCAAATTATAAAAGTACTTATAAGGTTTCAATTAAAAATACTTGTTATTACACCTCGCTTAATGGACTATATTATAAAAAAAAAGCGAAACATACTCTACAAACATACTCTCTAACAGGAATTCATTGGGGTCAATGGAAATATAACTCTTTTCTTTTGTTCAAATGATAACAGGGCCGAAGTTCTTTCAGGTTGAGATTAATAAAAATATATTAAAACTATTTAACTTTTAATTCTGTATTATACCACAGATTTTATGACTGAGTTTCTTACCTGTGTTATCAATCGTTGCAATTCCTCGTTTTCGGTAACAAGTTTCTGATAGCGTTCTTCATCCTCCTTTGATATGGCCGAATCGGGATTGTATTTCGATTCGGCCTTATCCTTAGGATGACGTATGACCTCAATGACCTATGAAAAAGCAGATAGGTTAGACTGTACTATTTTCTTAGGAATGCAAGAAAAACTAACCTTTGGCACAAATATCAGCAGCATGCTTAGGAAACAACAGAATATCACAGCTAGAGCAACGAAGGCAAAGGACGCGTCCTGTTGCGATGCAATGACCATGCCCACCGGAGCTGTTATCAGACAGAGAACCACCACGTTGTAGATGCTCATGCCCACATAACGCGAATCGTTGATCTGTTTCACTTTAATGGATCGGGTCTCGTAGGCCAAGAACAGACCAAACACCAGGATTAGCCCCTTGAAGCCATAGACGAGACCTGGAAATATAAGTAACATTCTAATATCAGTTGGGTTCTAAAAAATATCTCTTTTAAGACGTACCCAACCACATGGAGTTGCGTTGACTTTCACAATGCTCAAGCTCTGGACGTATTTTTATATCATCAGTAGTAGATACTGGATCTTCGAGTGGGAATGTTTCAAGATAACGCTGCAGCGGATCAAAGATCTGCCATGAGAGTAATATCACTAAATCTATTGATAAGAGTCCCGAAACCATGGTGTATAGCTTCCAAGGTTCCACTTTTTTCTGCAAATATAAATATGTTAAATACATATTATGGTATATTTTAAGTAATCCCACCTTCGGATCAGTTTTTGCTTTTGTTGTAAAGCGGTGCACACGCCAGACCTTGCTGAACATAGCACCGTATGCTAATGTAAAACCGGTGGATAGTAACCAAGCTCTAGCTTGACATATCTGATGGGAAGAAAGAGAAAGGCGTTAATGGGTTTTAAATGTTACAGTTAAGTTTTCTCACCTTTGGATATTCCTCGGGGCTGACAAAGCGTCCATCGATACCCAGTAAGATGACAGATATTAGACAGATGATGACACCAAATAACATGATGGTATTGCAAACGGGATGCGAGGATTGTATTACTCTGAAAATGTTAAAAACTGAGGTAACCACTGGGTCCTAGGGCTCTAGGAATGATCTACCTTCTATGCTTATTCCATATATTAAAGATGATCAAGGCGAAGGCAACAAAGATGCCGCAACTGGAGATGGTGCACATGCACACAAATAATGGCAAGGATACGGTGCGTAGAACATGAGTGACTATTGTGCGATCTTGAGGAACCTAGAGTTAAGAATTTAAACAAATTATTATATATATATTTCTAATGAACTAAAAGTATAACTAATAATATAGTATTTTTCCATATTTTATTTAAAAATTTGATTATAAACATTCTTTACAATGAATCATGGTGCCAGAGGACTTTCTCCACCCTTTCCCGGTTTTTATCTGTAGCCAGTATCACATAAAACGAAACTTGACCATAACCCTGTTGCTTATGATGGATGTTATGAGCCCACATTTTACAATTCACGTGGACACGTTCGTTTGCCTTAAGGTTTTTGATCTGAAGAGCCACTATTCGATTGACATCATTTGGGCTGAAAAAAGACTTCTTTCCTTTATCCATAACAAACTCTACTTTTTCGACAATATCTGTGAATTCTGTTCTGATCGCTGGTTCAGGATAAAATTCTATCTGAACATTTTTATCTGTATCTGTTCGGCAAGTAATCCAGGTACGGTTCTGGCGATTCTCCTTCGATATGGTGTCCTCCAAAAGGCTCTTTAAAGCCTCAAAGTCCTCCTCGTCAAGTTTGCCATTGACAAGATCATCGGAGCTAGTGTAAGGTTCTGTTTTAAAGCCAATTATTCTATTAACTTTAAGGAAAACACACGGTTTACCATTTGAATATCCAAACTTTTCGAAGGCAGCACAAGTTCCAAACCGAGTGTTATGTCCAGAGTCGCCATATTTTTCCAACAGAGCCATAATACCAGCGTACTTTTCCATTACTTCAGTATCGTTTCGTGGATCGAATGAAATTGTTTTGGGATTAGTTCGAGGTCCAATAGGAGCGAAAGTAATAGTTGGTTGAGCCATTTTTGTATTGGGCGCCTTTCCTGGAGCTTCATCTGTGACATAATCGAACCAGGCCATCGAAAATAGTATGACAAATGAAATATATAGTACTGCAAAGATCAGTGTATAAACCCAGTGACTTATACGGCGTAGTTCATATTTTCCATGGGTTCTATTGTAAAAGAGTCGGCGCCATCCTGTTCTGCCAGGAAAATGATATTCACAGCCCTCATAATAAGCTCTTCGTTCTTCATTCTTTGGCATTTTGTAGGGTCCTTTATCCTGGGGTGGATCCACAATAAGTTTATTCAATTTCTTCGTGTCCGGCTTAATGGGCTCCATGTAAATCACTTCTGTTCCATCGTCGATAGGCATATATGGCTTATCTGTGTTAGTTCCAACATCTCTTAATTGTCCCCCATTGTGTATGTGCATCGCAGATATAAGTGGAAATTTGGTTTTTGGTAGGACCTTAGTATTAACTCCAATTTCCCTTTTTTGACCATCGGAGGGTCCTATCTCTATGGGATTGTCATCTGGTTCAGTCTTATATTTATAGTTCTTCCGATTTTTGGATAAGCTATCAGTAACTTGGCCTATATCTCGCAGTCTTCCATGATCATGGTAAACTCCCGAGTCAGGTTCTGTAGCACCAGTAGGCACCTTTATTCTTCCGGGTGTTCTGCTTATATCCGTATTGATTCCAATAGCTCTGATTCTCTTATTTCGTTTTCCTAATTTTATCTTCTGGTTTTCCCTTAATTTCTGATCCTCTCCAGGTATATCAGAAAATGTCTCAGTTATAGGGAAACTCCAAGGTTTCTTTGCCTCCAACTCGACTTCTGGTTCCAAAGGAGGTTTCTTCTCTTCCTTCTCTTTTGGTTCTTCATCTTCTTTGGGAATTTCCTTGTCTTCAGCTCTTACTTGCGTAAGACAAAACAATTTCGTAATGGTGGCTTTGTGTTTTACTGGACCATCATCATCATCATCACTTGAGTTCTCCCTATATTTTACCTCTTCAACATGACGTTTACTTGTTCCTGTGGTTTTCGAACCTTTAATCTCGTCGATGGTTCTATCAACTCTAGGTTGTTTAAGAAAACCTAAAATTGATTCGCGTTCATCTTTAAGCTCCTTTAGTTTTCCCATATTGATTACTTCAGCTAGGAGGACGGCATCGTCATCGGCTTTTTGGGATTGATCTCGATAGCTACCTCGCATAGTCGCAGATCCAACCGAATCAATATCTTCCTCCTCGCCGTGCAGACTTGAACTTGAATTAAGTTCATGATTGCTGGGAAGACGACGCCGTAGAACACTGTCTGGCTCCCAGCTCTGGCTCTTTTCTGGCTTATCTTCTGATGAGCGATCATAATCTATCAAATCAGCCAAGTATTCTTCCCTATTAAATGAATCAAATGGCTCTCGAACTCGCCTTGTTGTGGGACTTTCATCGACTTTATCGCTTGATGCTTGGAGCTTATCAGATTCAGATTCTTTCAGAAGAACTTTTCCGGGTACCGACTCTACCAATGTCACTTTCTGCTCTTCTTCAATCCCTTTTTCGATGCGTGCCTCACCTTCTTTTGTTATTGCTACGCCGCCTATAGATCCCTTTTCAAATGATTTGGAAAACCGTGGTTTTTCATCTTTTAGAGATACGGCCTCTTTTCCATCTTCTTTTTCATTTTCAACAGCTTTTATATCCGATGATTTAAAAAATGGCTTTTCATCTGAATCCTTTTGTGATACTTCGTCATTTCCATCTTGGGAACTTGACCTACTTAACCCTGATTTCTTCGGTTTTGGTGCCACTTTAGGACCTGATTTCAGACTTATAGATGAAGATGGCGGCTCTTTGGTTTCGTCCTCCCTTGGACTAAAACTAACTGAAGGTCTTTCAGTATTAGCCCCAACTTTTGACGGTTTTTTAATCTTTTCGGTGCCACTTGAAACATCCTTACGTTTTTCCTGATTTTTTTCTTCGTCAGACATTTTACATATACTGATTACAATGAACTGAGTGTTATTCCCAAGCTCACTATTATGCTTACCTTGCCACCAATCCACTGCTCAGTATTCAACCAGGATAGGTTATCCAACTGGGTATCGTAGTAGCCCAGTTTTTCGTACTTCCCGTCCACCATTTGCTCGATCTGAGTAAGTGCAATACGATCGCCCTGAGAACTGAAGGCCACCACCCCCTAAAAATACGGATATGTTAAATATATTTTTAAAAATAGTCTAGTTTAACAAACTTACTGAGACACCCAGAAATTGTGTGGAGTTCATGGCAGCGTAGATTTCATCGGCAATTTCTTTGTCCGTATAGGTGAAGTCCCTCAGTGACTTCTTACCGCTTGTCAATCGATCCATAGTCTTGTTAAAAGCTAAAGCCACACTCCATACAGCATCGTAGGCCAGCGGGGCTTCTTGATAACCCTCCGGATAGCGATCGTGATTGATGTCGTAACCCTCTTCGATTAATGCCTGATTCAGTCGATGTCTGTTGCAAATATTGTTAATATATATTAATAATATATTTGGTTTTATGCACTTACCGAAATTCCTCTGCAGTCATTCCGGATATAGTTGTCTGATTGTTCTGATTCCACATGAGAGCCTCTGTCGTAAGATGTCCCTCGGCAGCTATCCGCATTTGCTCCACAGTGCAGGTGATGCCCTCCGCTTTAAGGTTGACCTCATACCAATTGTCTTCATACCATCCTAAGGAAAAAAGTTGAATACATTTTAGATACAGGAACCTCCATATTTTCTTCATTTCAAGATCTCTTCATCTCGAAAAACCATTTTCAAGAGTACTTTCGTCTTGATGTTAAGAACGTTTATTCTCAAATAATTTGTACATTCCGTAGTAACCATCAAACCAATGTTCTATTT